TTTATATCTATCATTTTTGTTGTTCATTAAGAATAAAAAATTTGTTTTATAAAAACAAAATTTTATTTATAAATCTGTTTATGAATAATACAATAAAACAAGAGGAAGTATTAAATGTAAACACTTGAACAACTATTAATATTATTCATAAAACAAGAAATTAATACTATTCTGATACAAAAGTAAAAATGAAAATTAATTTTTAAATATCATTAATTTAATTTAAACAATACAATTAAACAATTCAAATTACTAATATAAAAACAGGTTATTTAATAATATTGGTTAGTAAAATAAATGGGTATTTTATTCTCATAAAATTTAATAAAAAAATGAAAAATTTAATTATTATTTATTCTTCTTCTAAAAGAACTGTTTTATTATTTATGATTTCATAGTCAACAGTTTCATCCTCCTCTTCTGTGTAGAAACGTTGATATGTAGAAAAGAAAGAGATAATAGCAACAAATCCACCAAGAATTGAACCACCAAGAATATCAGAAAAGTGATGATAATGATCTCTTGTTCTTGTAACTGCAATAATAATAGCAAGAAACGATGGAAGTCCGCAGAAAAACACAGAAGATAATGAGTTTAAATGAATATTTGATTTTTTGAAATAAAAATAAAGGAATAAAGATAAAAACAATAATCCAGCCATAGAAAATGAAGAATGACCAGAAGGAAATGACTTAGTACAAGTATATAATGAAGGATTACAACCATTAAAATAAAAAGGACGAGGTCTTCCAGCGAATATTTTATATAATTGAGTGATAGTTCCATTTAATGAGTCATTAAAAATGAAAGACAATACTGAATTAAATAAACCTGATATATAATGGTTCTTTAAACATAAAAGAATAATACAAATTAAAGGAATAAAGAAATCTATTGTAATTGTCATATTTCTAGTGAAAGTATTTTCATGTTTTGAATAATGATAAGAAGGATGATTATGTGGAGTTTCCATTTTAAAAGGAGGTAAAAGACCAAATAATTTAGAAAGAACAAAAACAATAAAAGTAATAATAATATCAATTTTTCTTTTCTTTAAAAATGTAATCCATTGTTCTTTCCACATTGTAATAAACTCATTTTTTTAAGTTCAATTTAAAAAAGACAAATTTTTAATTTAAAATGAAAAAAAAAATGAATAAAAGACATAATTAAAGAATTAAATTAAATTTGTTTGTAATTAAATTTTTCATATACAAACTGAACATTAAGTGGATCTGCAGTTTTAAGAAATTCTTGATATAACACATCAGCATCAAAAATAATATCAACAGGAATTTTATTAGTTAAACTTTGAATAAATATGAACAATTCATCTAATGAAAATTGTTTTGAAATAATAATGTCAGAATATTCTTTAATAATACACATAGAAATAAAATAATATAAACGTCTTTCTGGAAAAGCAAAAATTGAATCCCAAATTCTTATCAAATCTTCATTTATAAAGAACCTTTTAAATAATAATGCATTCCACTTATAACAAAAGAAATAATCAATGTTTGCTTGCTCAATATAATCTGCTAATTGGGGACATACAAAACGTAATATTGAACCATTTTTTCTTAATGCTTTCATAATAATATCACCTTTACAAAAATAAAATGGTTGTAAAAAGTCCATTACATATTTAAACATCCAAAATAATGTTGATTCTTCATGACAAATATCCATTAATAACGCACATATATCATTCATCCCTTGACCATATCCAACTCTCATATTAAAAAAAGAATATGTCATTAAAACATTTTTTAATATTTTACAATTCTTTCCTTCTAAATCTACAAATTTAGAGTCATTTCTATCAGTTCTTCTAACATCTTTATCTATTTGTGAATTAGTTGAAGTATAAAACTTCCAATTTTCAATTTGTTCTGGAAGAGCTTCTTGCCATATTTTTTTAATTTTTTCATAATCCGCTTTCATTTTTTCATTAAATTCATTACGTTCTTTAGTTGTTGAACGATAATTATAATATCCAATACATAATAACCATGCAAATTCTCTTATATCAGGTTCACATCCTCTATAATATACAGTCCTTCTTAACGAGTCCATATTTTCTTCTGATATTCTACCATCAGGATCCATAAACATTTTTAATGTCTTCTTTGATAATGCATTCATTCCTTCTATATGTTTTGTTAAAACTAATGAAGAACGTTGTCTAATAAGATCAGGTCTACTCATTCTTTCCCAAGGAGAGATAGTACCTAATAAAACAGTACGAACACGTTCTAAATTAATATGAAAAATAATAAAGTTAATCTCATTCTTATTGTCTTGAACAATTTTAAGTGAATCGATCTTTTTTAATTCTTCCATTAAATGGTTTGCAGTAGTTTTTGCATATTTTCCATGAAATTCAAAATTTGGATAAATTTCTGGAATATCTTCTTTAGAAATTGGTTTAAAATTATAAATTTCATTTGAATCATAACTTTCATAAAGGTAAAATGAACTTAGATTTGTTAAACAAATAGAATATTTATAACTATCAAAATTATTTGTCATTGTTTTGTTAATTAATATATTTAATAATCCAACTTCTTTATTAACAAATTGTATTGGTATATAATTTAAATAATAATTCCCACGTTTCTAATAAATTAATATAATAATGTTAATAAATTATTAATTAACAAACTTTACATAAAACCATTACTCCATATATTAAACAAATATCTAATTTAATATAACAATCATAAAATGTTTCAATGTCTTCAAAATCTTCTTCATTTGATTCAATACTTTCTTTTAATTCAATTGTTCCTGTTCTTGAAATAGGTGGTGTGGTTTCAGTTTTAGACATTATTTTTAATGGATTTTGAACAGTTATAGTTTTGTTCATCAATGGTAATAATATTTGTTTATTTGAAGTTTGTATTTTTGAAGGATCAATTATTTCATAATTTTCTATCGTCTCTTTTTCTTTAACTGTGTTATTATCTGAAATATTATCAGTTTCTGATTCAATTAATTGAATTGTACGGAGTCTAGATAACTGATTTTGTTTCTTCATTTTTCTTTATATTTTAAATTCTTAAAGTTCTTTTCTTTTTTTTTATTCATAAAATTAATTTAATAAAAATTTGGTAATAAAGTGTTAAATAGAATTTTCATTTATTCTTCATTCTTCCTTGCTCAGAAGAGAATAATCCCATCCTTGAGCTTGTTTTTTAAAAAAGAATACTCTTTTTGTTTAACCTATCATTTAGGTTTTTCTT